TAACTTCATTGGACCGGTCAAACTTATTTTTCTCTCTGGCTAAGATGCACTTAGCTGCTTGTCTAAAGCACACAAATTATCTCATAGCCTAGTTATGCTGCTGACACAGGGTCATGAAAAATGTGCCAGCAAAACAGAATCCCCAGCGCTCCAGCAGACAACAATGAACCTCATATTTCACTCTAACTTGGCAATTAAGTCGGAACAAATATCTAGGGAGAGGAGACGTTCTCTAGGATTTCAAGCAGAATAAACCACTGCTGATGAATTAGTTGGGACCCACTGCAGTGCCCAGGCAAAACAGAGGCAATTGGAAAGCTCAGTCCTGAACCTTTACTGATAGCACAGACCTGGATTTCTGTAACAAGGCACAGAAAAGGCAGTAACAGGCAGCACTAGCACACGCTGGTTGAGGAAAGCTTGGCACGAGCCAGCACCACTTCATCCTTCAGGTATCAGAAGTGCTGTCAGCCTTCACGGACCATTGCAGTGTTGCACGGTGGGGAGGTGCCACTCAGCCAGATCCCAGCAGGAACACTCAGAGGAGCAGCCCTGCGGGGCTCCCCCCAGCTGCTCTGCCACACCACACATCCCAACATCCCCTCTCGCCACCAAGGCAACCTAGAGAACACAGACGGGTCGGAGAAGACTGTGGCCTTTTACGCTGTGCTCTGAATAGTCTCATGCTGGATCATCTAAATACTCCCGGGACATGGGTAGGGTCACACAAACGCCAGCATGTGCCTGTTGCTGAGATGCAAAGGCTACAAGGAACAGCGAAGGCTTCCCCTGGCATGCGCAGAGCTGCCTCAGGGAAAGGCAGAGGGAAAGCTGCAAATGTGGGGAGAATCAGGCCCAAAGGCCACGAGAGTCACAAAGTTAAGCACGGTGCATTAGTCAAGGGCGCTGTCAGGATGTATCGCAGTTTCAAATTTCACCTGTTCCTACATTTTGGATTTTATGGATATAAAAATATCCCACAGTTGACTATGTCATCATTTAACCTCATTTTTTTCCCTTCTAGAGGAGTTTTCTTTGAAGTTCCTCCCTGTATTTTATTATCCTCTTAGGTTCTGGAGTGTCTGTTGTTACCTGACACCACCAGATCTGGAACCCATTAAGAGACAGACAGAACCAAAGGCAGGGAAGCACTAGTAAGTCCTCAGAATAAGGACCACAAAAAGTCGATCTGACTTTTGTAAGCAAATTACAACCTCAATTAATTATATCCTCAGAAATTATGTCCACAGCCATTTCTGCTACCTCTAAAAGAGAGGCAAACTGATCTAAGAAAGCAGTAACTCCCCTTTTTCACATATGTATAACCCATACCAACCTTGGGAAATTACTTGCTTTCCAAGAACAAAACCTGTAAGGCCAGGCTAAGGCCGACAGTTCTTAGAAAATTTATACCGTTCACAGGAAAAAAAAGATCTAATCCACATTATGCATTATTCATAGAATTATAATGTTCTTTTTTTTTTCCCCTCTTTTTGACAGCAGTATGCTTTACAGGAAAATAACAGAAAAGGGACTGCTCAGCTCAACTCCAAACAGGTACCTTTTTCCTAATAACACCTTCCTACCCCATTAAGGGTGGAAACAAGGAAAGGAAAGACACACTCTTGTCTGCGTAGCGATGTTCCCCTGCCCTGCTGAAAGCAGCCTTGGATTTTATCTTTTTCTGCAAGTGTCTTCATAGAATAACAGAAAGGTTGAGGTTGAAAGGGACCTCCAGAGATCACCTAGTCCAACCCCCCTGCTCCAGCAGGGACACCTAAAACAGAGGCACATCCAGGCACGTTTGGAAGATCCGCAGAGAAGGAGACTCCACAACCTCCCTGGGCAGCCTGTTCCAGGGGGCTGTCAGCCCCACTGTAAAGAAGTTCTTCCTCACCTGGAGATGGAACTTCCTGTGTTTCAACTTGTACCCACTACCTCTTGTGCTATCACTGGCCACCACTGAGAAGAGTTTGGCCCCATCCTCTTCTGCCACAGACATTTTTATATACACACACACGTATTATATATACATGTGTGTACATATTTTTATATATATATATATATATGTATATATGAAAATGACTCAACTCCTTATCCTCATCTTTCCAGGAATAACTGGAAATCAGGTCTTTTGTCCACATGTCCTACTGCCAAATAAAGCTGCTGTGGTGAGTTTGGGCTTAGTCCCTTAGCACATCCCTGGGAACATCCTCACACAGGTTGGAGATCTACTCACAGGACAGAGATTGTTGCTCCAAATATCCTTATTTTCCTTCAGGACTGACAGCTCTGCTGGCTTCTACCTGGTGGCAGAGGGAAAGGAGAGAAATGGAAGAGAAGCCAGGGAAGGTTGGTTCCTCTGGGAGGGTGGAAAGGTCAGGAAGATCTTTAACAAGCAAAATTTGCAGCCACTAATCTCCAGTTGTATGAGGAAAGAAAGGAAACTTGTTAATTACCATCAAAAGAGGAAACTTAAAAAAACACCATGTCTATTAAAATTACATTAAGAAAAAAAGAAATGCAACAAATGTTCCATTTTCATAAAAGGATATAGTCCCTTAAACTCTTTGAAAACTTAACATTCTAGTGAACAGGATAACAACCATACATTAAAGCTGTCATTTCCCAGTTACACACAAATTAATAAAGTAAGAAATCCTGGTTCAGAGCTCCTGCTGTCATTAAAGTCAATAGGGAAAACTGAACACAACCATACATCATTCCTACAGTAACTGACTGGGCATGGAACCAACAGCCTCCGGTGGTAAATGGTAAATAATGCATATAGCATATAAAATGTTACAAGTATATGACAAATTAATCTGCTTCCCACTAAAGGAAAAGGTCTTTTTAAATAGCTTTTTCTTTTTATCTGAATGCTAAAGTGCAATTTTATCTTTATATACGCACCTCTCCCATTACATGCATCCATCACAAAAAAAATAGTTATTAATGAGCATTAAATCTCAAAGCAGGCCAATTGAAAAGTGTGTGTGCATACGTACATATATATGCATACATACGCTTGCGTCCACAATAAACTTACAATTTACATAAAATTAATTGTGAATGAACTGATAACGTAGCTTCAAAGCTTGCAAGAATAACATATACATGTATGTGTTATTCTTTCAGAACACTTGAGTCACCTGTACATCAAAAGGCTTCCCAATCACACAAAACACATCAATAAATAGTATGTAAGAATGTTAAATGCAGCCCTTTGGCAATGTGTAATTACTTTTTACAGCTGCAGAGGGTTGTTTTTGCATAAAAACAAAACAGAAAATATTAAAATGTTCTTAACAGGCTTGAGTTTGAAAGAAGAAAGAAATGACTCTCTGCCTTTCTCCTTCCAGACAAACAAATGGAACTGGGGGGGGGGTTCAACTAGGCCGCCCTTTGCAATCCTTGAGCAAGAATCCTCCACTCCTGGCACCACAGCAGATGGTATGGACGTGTGGAAGAAGGTGTTTAGACCTCAGACTCACAGAACTCAGCAAGCCTATTCTGCGTGTGAAAATACTTCCTTTTTCCTTAGCATAATTAAGAAACAAAACAGAGCAAACAAACATTGTTTTGTTAAAACACTGACCCTGTTGCACATTGATGTTGGGGCTGAGTGACCTAAATGCTCCCTGATTTTTTCTGTGCTCTAGAGCTGAAAGGCAAAGAGAAAAACATTAGCCCATCGGAAGTGATTTCTTGTACAGTTTTACAACTTTCTTTTCCAACAGATTAATTCAAGGAAAAGTTAACTCGCTTGTTCAAGCATGACTTTTCTTTCCTGAGAAGAATGATTTCCTTAGTATTTTTTTCATCACTGAAAGTCCTCCCATAATGTGCTGCCTCCACACGCAGAGGATTGAGGCAGGAGCTGCGCTGCTGAGTGCCGCAGGCTCTGCCCATGGGAGACCCCTCTGCTTCCTAGAGGCTGCTACAGTGCTTCCCGAAGTAGCAACTGTGCATTTTCCTGTCCCACATGCTCCCATGTGTCCCTCCTTCCAGAAAGAGGAGAACAAGCTGGCTGCAGGGCACGGGGCTGGCACGAGCAGCCACCGCGAGTCACGGAAGGGACGAGGAAGAGGAACAAGACATGACCTCATGGCAGAGCACCCAAACCATGTCTGAATAACTCTTGGCATTTCCACCTATCATTTCTATGCATGATGAGAATGAAGTCAGCACTATTTGCATAAATTTATAGTGTCCTTAAATAAACTATTCAGGATGTACCTCATACCTGCAGGCAGCTTAGGCAGACAGGATGCGTGTAGCAGATCCCAAAGCGTTGAGAGGAAACACTGTGTGTGAAAGAGAACGAAACAGTTAGAACGTTTCTGTCCAGCTCAGCCGGTTGGGGTTGATTTGCTGTAGAGGGCTGTGTCAGGCAGAGGGAGCACAGCACCCCCAGGCAGCACCACAGCCCGGACTTGCAAGGACTTGGCTCAAGAAGGGGAGACACGGAACCCAAAGGGGCAGCCGTGTCGGCCCCTCGTGGCGCAGGTGCCGCCCAGCTCCCAGGCCCCAGCTCGTGCAGGGAAGGACCCCGGCGCCCGGGCGCTCTCACCTCTCCCCACGCTCACACTCCTCCGGCCGAGGGCTGCGGCTCCCCGGCAAAACCCCTCCTTGCCGAGGCGGGCAGCCGCCGAGGGGATGAAATTCAGGAATCTAGACACAGCAACTTTAGTGGCAGGACATTCAAACAAGTAAAGAAACTAAAACATGATTATAGCTCTGCAAGAAAAAGCCATTTGTTTAAAGTTGGAAGAAATTTTCAGGCTTTTGCCTCCAGTTAGAAAGAAAGATACTTGCATAACAGGATTCAGATCTTTATTTTAAGCAACATATAGGCTATACACGACCTCCAACTTCCAATAGGGCATTATTGGGAAAATTTTATCTTTACAGCTGTTCGAAACCAGTGGATCACCACGAGATTCAGAGAAACAATTCTGGAAATATGCTGAGCTTAGTTTCTATTCCCCATCCCACCAGCTAATGACAGACCTGAACCAGCTGTGATTAATACAGCCAAGGCAAGAGACTGTTCCTATTCAACAGGGCTCATTGAAACTCATTCCTCGGAGGAGAGAAAATAAATAAATCTCTGGCACCTCCCACAACACAGAAATTACAAATTGCGTCCACACACAAAAAAAAAGTTTTTAAAAAAATCTCTTAGCAATCACCTCATCTCAATATTTAATAGAAAATCATTTAAAATTATTAAAAGTAATTCTCATGGAGACTGATGTAATAGTAACTGGAAATAAATTTACATTTTCATGCCGCTAAGCCAATGGAACAGAAGATTCAAACACATTAAACAAAAACACATAGGGATGCATTGGAAAGACAGCCTAAAACTCCCAAACTTTAACTCAAACTTATTTTTTATTAAAGTATGAATGCATTTATGCTGAAGAATAGTTTGCATACATTGTAAAGCAACAAGCATATTTTCAAGAGGCGTGGGCCCTCCTCAATATGTCTCCATGCTTATTCTACATGTTTTAACACTGGACTCACACATACACTCTCACACAGACACGTACACCCACAGAACACAGACACAGAGCTATCTGCTTCAATTAGCTTTCTTTTAAGGCTTCTGTAAGGTGCCCTCGTGCCCCTAACGCTACCATGATTAAGAACAAAATCGTATAAAAGAGCAGCATTAACTGCAAACTACTGATCTGCTCTTGGCTTCAAAAAATATCAAGTGAAACAAGTTTTGAGTTGTATTAAACATCCACATTTATGAAAAGCAGGACTCTGTATCTGCAAACAAGGGAGGGTATGGGGAGCTTAACAAGAGCTTCTCCACCAGAGCAAACTGTCAAACCTGTCTCCAAAGGAGCTTTTCTCTTTTTTTTCCTCTCTCTCTTTTTTACTTTTTTTCTCTTTTTCTTTACAGCAGTGCAGCTCTGGCAGCCCCTGCCCGGGCCAGGCGCCGCCAGCGCGGAGGCTGCCACGCTCACGCCACTTCAAACCTGAGGTCGATGCAAAAATCACAGCTCAAATACTGACAGGGGCGAGGGTCTGAACGAGACCGCTCAGTTCTTACCGCTGGGCCCACTCGCTACGGAGCAGATGGGCGTTTCAGAACGCGCAGGTACCGGTGCTGCTCGCCCAGTCCCCGCGGCGTTTGTCTCCCAGCACTTTTTGGTATCCTGCAGTACATAGTCTGAAACTGCACCTACTGCTGCTGGGTGAAAGACGCGGCTGCAGATACATTAAGGAAAGATATAATGAATAAAATAAAGGATAGCATATGATATAATGGGTAAATACAAGCATTTTTTTTCTTTTTTTCTTTTTCTTTTTTTTTTTTTTTAAATCTGTGAAATGTGAATTAACTGCAGAATGCCAGGCCATTAGTCTAAAAGGCTGCGTATGGCTGTTTTAGCCTACATGGGCTCGAAGGGTTTTGCGGTGCATCGTGCTGAACGGTTCTCCTGGACTCATCAGGGCTTTCCTGTCCTACCTGCTCTTCTGTATCAGCATCAGCTCCTAGCTATGAATGCCAGAGCAGCATCTAATAAAAATCACCTGACTGCTTTTATAAGACAAGCAGGAATGAATCTACTTGGAAGTATGCACCTGACCTAGAGAGACAAGAAAGGGTCAGTGATGGGTGAGAGACTGGGGGAAAAAGAAGCTTTTTTCTCATATTTAAAACAGCAGCAGATTTCAAGGTAATGCAATTACTGTAACGATGCATATCTTTAGGTACTGAATTGCCCTTTTGATTTTAAAAAAATGGTCAGCCGAGTGTTTGGCAGTCTTTTCATTTCCCAATTTCAACTGTTGTGTAGTCACCTATCAGCTCTCATTCCCTTGGCCCTTTCTGCCTTTGCTGAGCCGTGAACATGTTCAGTCAGCCATCGTCAGACTCCAATTCGTGAGACACTTCTTCTGAGGAGCTATTCCTGTGAATCCGGCCATCGCTTTTCATGCTGTGAAAAGTCTTCTTAAAGGCCTCCATCATGGCATGGGCCAGCTTCTTGGCCTCCAGCTTGCTCTCGCACTCTACTGCGTGGCAGTCCATCTGGTAGGACAAGTCGTCGTTGATCTCCCTGTACACCCAAGCAAAGATGTTTGGGCTGACGTGGTGGTCAGCAGTGCAGTAGGCGATGCGTGCGACCTGAAAGGTATCCATGTGGACTGTCGCCTCGCCTTTGAGGTCCAGGTGGTGCAGCCAGACTTGGAAAGGGCGAATTTCCAGCAGGGCGTTTGCTGGGTAAACATCCTCCCTGGCGAGCGTGTGCTTCTTCCACAGCTCGATGACTGGCTTCTCTGTGCAGCCTGACAAAAACTGCATCCCTGTGGTGGAAACCTTGCCCAAATACGTCACCTGCAAAGAAGAGTAAAGGAGGTGAAATACAGACTGCAAACTCTCATGATGCTTTTCGCTGTTTCAGGATCTTAGTCCTTTACTTGGAAAATAAAAGCAACTCCCCTCTCCAGCCTCCCTGCTTCCCCATCACCTTCAGAAAAGCAGTTTTCAAACTAGTTTCCAGATACTTATGCCTTCAAGCACCAACAAACACAGACATTAAAAATGTTTGGTCTCTCTGCATTTCACAGGATTTTACTCCCTTCAGCCCCTCAGGAGATGCCAGCTTTACAAACCATCACTGCTATGCACATGTTAGCAAGGCCCAGTGCCTGTGCTGGTAAGTGCCAGCAGACGAGCTCTCAGGTAACTGTGCTGTTGACCACCATTTCTAATTTTATACTATATTCTAATGGTTTATTTGTATCATATTTTAAACATTAACATTAGGGAGATAGAGACATTCTTCATTTGACAACATAAGGCTGCAGGGGGTCAAAAATGCATGATCACAGCAGAGAATTTTAAACTATTTAAATGTATTTTCCAAAATGATCCCATTTTTCCACCACATCTACTATTTCTACTGAGTATTTAGCCAGAAATCTTCAAAACTCTCTCTTCCCTTGTGAGCTGCAGGGCTAAGACATTTCTTAAATTGATTTAAGAAAATATCCCATTAAAAAAAAATCTAGTATTAAATCCGGCTTAATCATATCATCCCTTTGCTTTTATGATTAATTTTGCTGAGCAAATATCCAGTTAGCCAGTGAGGACAGCAACATACAGGAGAGCAATGAGTCTTGAGTGCCACCGACATATTTTGTTCACCAAAAATCAAATTCCCTGAATAGCCCATATCAAAATGCTATGTGAACCCTGTGGAGAAACATTCCCTTACAGCCACACAGCTTGTAAAAATATATTGTTCCTCTACAGCTGAATGGAAGAATATTTTATCTGGGCAAAGAGGGATTTTCTCTAGAAAAGACAGATCAACCACTAAATAAATACAATTACGCAGATGATTCTATTTATTGCTGCTGTCAGAACGCCACAGCTAAGAGCAAATATACAAAAGCAAAATTACTTCTAATTTATCTCTTGCAGCAGTAACTGCGTGAGACTGAATCCTAGGCCTCCTGCTTAGTCTCTTATAATCTCATGAGCATTTTACCAAAAGCTTTGGAAAAAAAAAAAAATCGACATTTCCTTTTCAAAATGTCTTCAAAATGCAATATTGCATACACACTATAATTTTTCTCTTTGATATGCATTTTAAAAAGTAAAGAGAAATGTGATTTCCCGATGCTTAAACATTTCAGAAATCTAAGCCATGAAGAATATAAGATTTTTAATCCACACAAACAACATTTTCACTGGAAAAATATTTTGCTGCAAATTGTTAAACTCAAAGACTTAAATTAAGCCATAATTAGGAAAAAGCTTACAAAACCTTATTTGGAAGTCCATGTGGCTTAACATGTCAGCCAAGAGAGCAATTTCATTGCACTGACATTGCAAAATGGGAAGTCTGATTTTTTGCCTATAATTATTCAGGCTTTGCACTGGGAGTATTTAAAATCTTTTAAAGCTTTATATTTTTTTTCCAACAGTGCGAACGACATCAGCTAGAACAGTTACCAATGCAAGACCTACCAGTGTTTTCTTTCCTTTTAATCAGTGATTAGGCTGAAGTTCCCTAAAGTCCTGTGGAACAACTTAAAGGAAAGCCTCAGCACCCACAGTGTGAACTAAGCGGATGCAGCAGCACACGAAACTCCAAGCCCAAGGAAAGCAGAGCCTGTCTCCTTGCTCTGGTGCGTTGTCACAAGAACACCCGGCTTGCCGAGCTCCACACTGCCAAAGTGTCCCCAGCGCCCCCAGTTCTCCACGGGGACGACTAGAGAGCAATGCAGAAAGCTGGAGGTGAGTGTCACACGGGAGCCCAAACCCTCTGCCTGAACGTGAAGTAAAAAAAAAAAAAAAAAAAAAAAAAAAGAAAAAAGAAAAAAAAAAGAAAAGGGGCTTCCCGACAAGTAAATATATAAGATAAAAAGGAGCGAAGAATTACTCTGAAAAGCAGAAAGTGGCTGAGACAAAAACAACAAGAAGTATGGGCTGATGGCTTGTTTACCAACGCAGGACTTAATGGTCTGACTTACTGTCCCAATTCTGTCACTGCCTGGCTGCATGGGAAGCTTGGGAAAGCTGCTTCCTTGAACAGTGCCTTGGATCTCCACTCAATGCTCTCATTTTCCTGAGGATGCATTCAGAAATGTTTGTAAGGTTCTTAGACACTTCACTGAGAGCACGGGACTCGGGCCACACCACTGCCACCAGACCTACGCGTGACATCAAGTACAGCTGTGGTTTCAGCCCTTCTGTGCTCGCAAAAGCTCAAATCTTTTCAGAGCCCATCGCTGTCGTGGCAAGAGCCTTTTGGCTTTTGCCCTAGAGACTTCCCAACACCAGTGTCGGGGCCCGAATGAGACATCCTGCATGGGAAACACAGTGCCTGCTGCCCTCTCGGAACATAGCTGCAGCCTGTCGACACATGAAGATGCTTCATGTCACAGCACATGAAGCTTAGCCGATGTCATCTGTCATGTCCAGACCCACGCATACAAAAAGCACACTGCTATTTTAAACCATTTCTGTCCAGTAGAGTTCAGGGAAAACACATGCTTTAATAGCCAGGCTTGATAGCTCACACTCTTTGAACAGACCAGGGTAACAGCTGCCGCCAAAATTTTCACAGCCCAATTTGTCAGATGTAATAAGGGAGACTTATTTTCTGCAATCCCAGCTCTTAGCTTCACAATCTACTCCAGCTCGTTACAGGCGGCAGAAGGGCGCAGCTCCTGCAGGCGTCCAGCATCGCCCCAGCACAACTGCTGCAACGCAGCGGCCTCCCTGGGCCCAAACCCGCTCCCCGGCCCTATCCCCACCGGATACTCCTGCCGGGGGATGCCAGCCCCGAGCCGTAATGGGCTGCCTTCCCCGAGGGCAGCACTTGCTGCTGAGTTATTTCATTAAAATTTTTCCTTCTTTCTTTCACAACCAATGTGGAGGGTTAATGAAGAAAAGGGGACAAATTACAATCAGCAGAGCACTAAGGCCACACCATCAGCATTTTACCCTGCGTATTTACGGTCAGTAATACCTAGGCCAAAGACACCATCAAATTTAGCCTTTTCCCAGGCAGCACAACCACAAAAGCCAACAAGAACAAAACCCAGCATTTTATGGCTGGTGCCAGAGAGCTGTTACAGTCCCACATCTCTCTCTGCAAGTTGAGAAGGCAAACACCAACTGAGGCACCAAAACTACCTTAGAAGAACTTCAACGCTAAGCAAAACCTTTGTAATGGGCAATGTCGTCTTTTCTGACAAAATATTTAACCCTCTAACGTTGCATCCAGTTACATTTCACTTTCACTTTGAACAGAAGAGCAAAAAGCACGAAGCAAAACTTTAGCAAGCATCAGGGAAGGGTCAGACACCAGGATACTTTAAGTACACTGAAGTAAATAAAACAAGGGGGATTGGGAGGGATAGATAGAAATATCCATTTGATGACAGCATAAATTATAGTGGCTCCCTCCAACCTGAATTTAAAAAAAAAAAAAAAAGAAATTCTGCACAGAAACGTCAACCGTGGCCAAGGCTGCCAGGCTAAAGCCAAATTTCCACAGCTCGCCCCCAGCCAAAGGAAACCATGCACCAATTCCCAGTCGCGCCGCGGCCTGTCACAAAACCGGCTCCAACATTACATGCCTGAATCCCAGAGCTCTGTGCTCCAGTTCCAAACCCATTCCCACCCCCCTCATCGGCCTCAGGCCTGGTCCAGCATGCGGGAGGTCGACTGATCCCACAGGGACAACCAGACCCGCCTTGAGCTTTGTCTCTGCCGACCGCCAGCCTCTCCGGGCGCCCTCCTCATTGTTGCACATGTGCTTGGGACTAACGGAACCTCCCACCACACGGCATGCTCTATAAAGGAAGCAAATCACCTCGGACAGGCAACCTGACGTGTTGCTCGTGCTGCAGCTGCCCTGAGCAAAGTCTTCCGGAGCCGACCAGCTCGCTCCCTCCAGCGTTCCAAAATGTGGCAAGTGCCACAGAGAAGGCCTACCACGTGAGAACGGCATAGACAAAACCATTTCTGCTTATGGAGAAAGAGCGAACTCCTACGGTTGTGTTCACCCCTTCTCTGCATGAGAGAGAAGATCCTCATGTAAATGTAAAGTTCTGCAGCAGCCCTGGTAGTAGCAAAGACTTCAAGTTGCCCCCTAATATTTTTACTTTGCTATTTGTTTGCTCAAACATAAGTATTTTTAACAATTTCAGCAAACATGTTCATTGTTTATAAATGTTGATTTTGCCCAACAGAAAACGTGTATTGAAAAGTGCCTCTTGTGAACTACTGTCTATCTGGCAACACAAGAGCGTTTCAAAGAGTAGATAGACTGAGCCTATCTGCCTGTGCACCCTCAGGCCAGCATGGGAATGTTGCAGTATGGGCACGTAAGCTGAATGTGCTCAGGCAGTATGGGAACGTAAGCAAACCCACACACGTGTTTGGGAACATGTCTGAAAAGGCAGACGTCAAATCTGAGCCTATGACAAAAAGAAGTGTTACCTTTCTCTCCCTCCCTAGAAATGCTCTGGTGCAGAATCACTTCAAGCTGTCTGCAATGTTTTATCCTGGACTGCACAACCACTGCCGAGTCACAATATACAGCACTGCTCTTTGGAGATCAAGTCTCCCCCTTCCAGTCAACGATGACAGTGAAAAAACTACTAGCTTTTCTTGTTATGAATAGCACCATAGCACTGATAGGCATACAGATACTATTTTACTTAGCAATACAAAAAGAAGAAGAAGGAGGGGAAAAAAAGCATATAACCAGCAACAACATCAACAAAAACACTTAAAATGTTTCAAATTACCACACAGGAGTTTTTGGGTGTAAGAACCCAAGAGTATCCCATGCCAGACGGGCACCCCATGCC